GGGGGGGGGGGGGGGGGGGGGGGGGGTATGATGAGTCCACAGTTCTTACCTGCTGCTGAGAGGCTGCTCCACAGCAGCACAGTCCACAGCACCGCCAGCAGGATGTTGCAGAGCCGGAGCTGACGGACGCACCGCTGCATGGCGACGAACAGCCGGAGTAAAGGAGGAGGAGGAGGAGGAGGAGTGAGGCAGGAAGAACAACACAAGCTCCTCGATGTGTCAGGCCGATCCGCCGCGAGAGGTTCAGGTGGCGTCGGAGAAAGTCCCCATGTCAGAGCATCATCCTCCTGCTTTCTGCCTCGGATCTGCTCTGCTGTCTTCTCTCACGCACGAGGAGTCTCTCTCCTCTCGGTGTCTGTGCCCGCCCACCCCTCAGTACATACGCGCGAGCGAGCACGCACACACACATCCCGACCTTATTGATAATGACATTCTGGGTTGAAAATATGAATCTGTCACTCCCTCATCTTAGAACTAGTTTTGATACTTCATTTATATTTCACCCTTAAATTGTTGAACCTACCTCGTTTGTGTTTGACTCACTTCATCTCCTTCCAGACTTATTCTTCATCCTCTACCTCATTCATTCATTCATTCAACCTTTATTTAGACAGGTAAATCCCAATGAGCCTAGAGGAATCATTTACAAGAGAGACTTGATTTCAACAAAGAATGATGACAACAATGGACAACAGCGACAACAATAAACAGTTATAAAAAGTCATACTCCAGTTTTTTTTTTTTTTTTTTTAACATATAGGATGGCTAAAAAAAAAGGTAACAAAAAAGCAGCTAGATTCTAAGGCAAATGTAGAAAACTAAAAACAGGAACATGTCTGCATTGGTCCCTGCCAGGAGTCCAATAGATTCTTAAAGTCACTTAGAGAGGTCAAGGTCGAGAGCTTCAAATCTTTTTGTAAGATATTCCAGGAAACAGGAGCAGAGTAGGAGAAGGCCCTCTTGCCTAGTTTAGTCCTTACTTAGGGAACACTGCAGGTAATAATGTCCTGAGAGCACACGCCGTAGTTGCACTCACGCAGAGACATGTAGGAGGAGATGTATGAAGGCTGCAGACCAAGAAGTGATTTAAAGATGAAAATGTACCAGTGAGAGAGTGTGCGTGAAGTTAATGATGTCCAGTTAACCAGTGAATACAGGGTGCAGTGGTGGGTACGATAATCACAGCCAGGTATGAATCTTAGTGCACCATGATAGACAGCATCCAACATCTGCAGGGTTCTTGTAGGAGCGTTTATGTAAATAATGTCACCATAATCAATGGAGTGTCAAAGATGTGCGGAGTTCAGCCTGCTCCTATAGGGAACGGGCAAGTCAAGACATATTATTCTGTGTTATTCTGCTTGTTTCATGCTCTGCTTGTAGGCCTCGAAGCCTTGAATAATCAAAACCATGTGTAGAGTAAAACGTACACTCACACACCCCATAAGCACGAATGTATATGTCACATACTCACACAGTTACACACAGACACACAGGCCCGCTTGAGAGGCACCCACACGCAGGAAGAGAACAGCAGAGCAGAAGATGTCTTTTTAATAAAAATTACCAGTTTCAGATGAATAAGAAAGATGTGTTTATAAAAAAATCAATAAACAAGTAAATAATCAAGTGATATAAACCTGGTGATTTTAAAATGTAAACATTATGATTTTGGAATGTAATCTGTTTTTAAGCTTGTTCATGATGATTGTTGAAAGAAGAAACCTGTAGCTTCACAAATGTTCTAGAAAGAAATTATACAAGTGAAGGTATTACTCAATGGGAAAGTCCATGAACCAACTCTGAGCGAATCAGGATAGGACAATGCAGAATGACTGAGCATTATTGAACAAAGTACACCCAGAGATTAATATGCATGAGGAGTGACTGGCAAAACCTCATAAGAGGCCTGTAAATTTGGACCAAGGTCCAACCCAGAAGGGTTGGATTAGCCTGATGGGGTGACCGGTCTGGAGATGTCAGTCAAAATCTCAGGCTATATAAACAAGGGTTTTGGTGAAAACTCTGCTGTTTGGGACCCACCGCTCGTGCTAGGAGAAGAAGGACAAGAGGACCACGAGATGAATTGTGGAATAATAGGGCGATTTTGGACGGTCTCTACTGGAGAAGAACTAGGGTGAAATCCATTGGAATGCACTTTTTTTTGGAACTATTCATCAACCCTTCAGCCCGGATTATTCCTAAATCCTTTTTCTTCAATTTCAACCAGATCGAGGACCAGGAACGGCCCACATCCCAGGGAAGGATGGGGAAATTTGTCTCTTACTAATTCAGAAAACATGGTAAGGGGACGTTCCTCAAATTTAGTCCTTATTAAAACCTTATCCCAAATTAAAGCAGCGGTATATGAATTGACAAGCAGAAAAATCAATTATGTTATAAAACTGGTTGCTCAGAGTTACAGAAGGGACTTCCTTGCAGTGAGAAATAATGTGTTGGTTCAGGTAGAGAGAGTAGGTAAACTGTGTGGGTACTTGTGTTCCTGAGTGAGACCGGGTGTGGCTGGCCGGACTAAAAGAAGTCTGAAGCCGAGCAGAGAGGAGTTCAGGAGCCTGTCTCAGGCCCCTCCACAGGGACAAAGATCTACCTTGCCCAGGAAAGGTCAACAACTGGAAAAGGGACTAAGGAGTGAAAATTATTTATCATGTAATCTCTTTGTAATCAAGTGTAATCATTATTGTGCGTACCACTGTTCCCCTGCAAAAGTTATTGATTAAAGCAAAGCAAAATGTAAAATCCTGGATTCTTATTTCAAACACCCCTTTTGTTCTTGGAAGTAGAAAACTTGGTTCAGAGAAACAACAGAAGCACAGAAGGTTTTAAATGGTTTTATTAGCTTTTGATTATAAAACAATATCCATGAGCCTTGTGCCTAGGCTCTGAACAACGCCAGATCGATTAACAATTGCAACGCTAAATCAGGAGATGAGCTACCATTAACTTGCACTTCCTCGTTTGCTAAACGTCTCCACTCCTGCTGCTAGGTCGGGCGAGGCACAAGGTGAGACTTTGGGTGTGGTGCAAGGATCGGAGGTAGTTAGCAGTCTGGGTGAATCATCTCAACACAGCCTTAAAATTAAAACTGTCCTAGGAAATGGCTGCAAGTAATACCTGAGCTATAGGATTAGTTTTGAGACCCGTTGGAAGAGAGGCTGTGGTGAGGGCGTGGCACGTGTCCTGTGCCTACCTCACTCGGGGAAGCAAGACATGGAAGGAAAGTCACAGATACAAGGCATTTCCTAGCATTAGGGATTAGACAGGAGCTGTTTCTGAAAAAGAAACCCAGTTTAACTTTCAGTTTTTTTTTTACCAAGTTTTCCACATGAAGCTTAATAGAGAGATGTGAGTCGACCAATATACCCAAATATTTATAGGAATCAAAAAACTCAATCAAGAGACCATTTGAGGACAAAATTGGAGATAGAACTGCGGGGAACAACTTCCTATTTGAAAAAAGCATCCTTTTGGTTTTGTCGGCATTTAAGACAAGTTTGAGGTGGAACAAATCTGTCTGGATGTAGTTGAATGCAGATTTGAAAAGTTGGAAAGCCTTATCAACAGTTTTAGCTGGACAATAAACAACTGTGTTATCAGCATAGAAATGTATGGATGCATCAGGGATGTTTTTATCTACATTATGTATGTAGATTGTAAAGAGGGTGGGTCCTAAGACTGAGCCTTGTGGTACACCATTGTTGACTGTTAAATAACAGGAGGAAGTACCATTATGTTGAACACATTGCCTCCGGTCTGAGAGATAGTTAGAGAACCAACCAATGGTGTGATCTGAGAAACCGATTTCTGAGAGCTTATGACACAAGATGTTATGATCCACAGTGTCAAAAGCTTTAGACAGGTCTAAGAAAAGTGCAGCACAATAATCCTTAGCATCTAGTGCTTCAACTATGTCATTAAGAACCTTCGGTGAAGCAGTGGCTGTGCTGTGTTGTTTCCTGAAACCAGATTGATGTGGAGGTAAGATGTTAAATGGGTCCAGGTATTTTTTGATTTGAGAGTTTATCAGTTTTTCTAGAACCTTGGTTAAAATGCAGAGTTTAGAGATTGGTCGATAGGTGTTCAGTGAGGTGGGGTCACCTCCCTTCAGCAAAGGAAGAACAAAGGCTGTTTTCCAAGCGTCTGGGATGGAGTTTTGGCTTATGGAGAGATTGAAGATGTGGGTCACAGGGACTGTAATGATATGAGCAGCCAGCCTTAAGAAATAAGGTGGAAGTTCATCTGGACCTGCAGATTTTTTAGGATCAAGACCTTTTAACAGTTTATTAACCTCACTGACAGAATGGAGAAAAAAAAGAAGGTGTGTTTAACTGAGGATTAACTTGTAGGAGGGATTTGATTCGTAGAAGTTTGGTTATTAAGTGAAGTGGCTGATTTTCCATTAGTAACTGTGTCAAATAAAGAACTAGAAGCAACAAAATGTTTGTTGAAACAGTTCAGGATCTCATGCTTATTTGACACAGGAACAGAGTTAATGAGAAGTTGTGATGGGAGGTCAGATGATTGGGGGGGTGCCTGAGAGAGATTTGATGGTTTTCCAGAATCTGTTAGGGTCATTTAGATTTTTGGAGGTCTGAGATAAGAAATAGTTGCGTTTTGCTGCTTTGACAGCAGTTGTACATTTATTCCTCATCTGTCAAAAACTCAACCAATCAGTGTCTGAGTCAGATTTTCTCGCTGCAGCCCAAAGATGGTCTCTCCTGTGCAGGAGATCAGCTAGCTCTGGAGTAAACCAAGGGCTGTCACGTCCTTTTATTCTGAACTGACGAAAAGGAGCATGTTTGTTCACAAAATAAATGAAACTATTATGAAAATAGTTCTAAGCAGAGTTCACATCATCAATTAAAAGAATACGATGCCAATCAAAGTGAGACAGATCTCAGAGGAATGACTGTTCACAAAAATGTTTCAGTTCCCTTTTTGAATTAGTCTGGGCTTAGAAGGTGGAAGTTTAATATCTCTCAAAGTCGCTGTCACACAATGATCACTCAAAATATTAGCAAATACACCTGTACCAGGGAATTTGTGAGGCACATTTGTTAATAACAGGTCAAAGATAGAGGATTTTTCATCACGGTTTTTGTTTAATCTACTCGGAGAGTTGATCAATTGGGTTAGATTGAGAGACAGGCAACATTCCTTGAATTTATCACAGAGGGGGTTTGACTTACC